CATCGATTGAGAAGAAAGCATTGAAAGTTGTATGCAGCATTTACCTTTTTTGGTTTTAATGTTGTCATTAATAGGAATGATGGACGATTTTTTTTGGCAGGTTTTTTGAAATAATTATGTCAATTCTTTCTTTTCATTTCTATTCTTAGTTTTCCCGACTTTGATTGTTTCAATAGACAGTTGAAGAATATTTTACTTTTGAGCTGAAAGAAAAAGCTAAAAAAATGGCAGATATTTTGCAAAGACAAGTTGTGAAATTGCAACGGTCCTCCGAGTTAATCCTTTGGGGGCAAACTTCTGAAAGAATAGAGTTGAAGCGTTATCATGAAGTTTTATAAGTCACTGTTAGTTTCGGCGGATTGTTTATGACAGTTGAAATTCTTTTCCAGTATTGCTCCAGAAAAGAAGAGATTTTTCTATAGTTTTTAAAAATGTAAAAAATTTATATGTAAAAAGTCAGTATCGATGCAATTTTTTAAAGTATTTGCTCTTTTTTTGTTTTCTTTTTTTTTGAATGCGTATTTAGTTGTAAATTTATCGATTTGGTTTTCATTTTTTTTCATACTTTCCGTTTTGATGATTTTTTTCCATTTTTTCTTTGAATTACATATTGATGTTTAAGATGGTTGGATGGATTTGCTGAGCGATCACTGTAAGAAGCTGTTAATGCTAGAAGTTGACAAGCTGACGAAAAAAGAAGGCTCGTGAAAGGCGTAATTGGTAACTAGGTACGGCAATAGTAATAGCAGCAGCAAAAAGTGACAGTGACAAAGTCTTCTGTGACTTTTCCTGTCTACATATGTATTTTTTGTTGGAGCTGATAGCTGCAAACCGATCTCGTATAATCAATAAATTTACTCAGCTGTCAGTAGAATGATGGTTATTGATAGGATAGGCCTTGAAATTGTAACGGCGGAGATGGTTATATTTGTCGTTGTTGAAATTATCTTGCGTTTGTTTATACTTTTTGGTGGTGCAATTCCGTATATCTTTCAATACTTGGAGATTCTTGAAAAGAAAGATGCTCAGGGTTTTTCACTGTACGTGTGCTTGGCCTTATTTGTTGCAAATATCCTTCGGATATTATTCTGGTGAGTCATTGTTAGTGTTTTCTTTATTGCTTTTCTTTTTTTTTTTTTTTTTTT